GGGGGGCCGGGAACCAATTAATTGGTTTTCCATTATTTCTTATGGGAAAAATTCAATCAGAACTCAAACTTTTTAGGATTTGATCCGGAGTCCGGAACGGATTAAGTTCGAGAACCGAGGTACCGCTGTACTGAGTTGTAAAAGTTAGTACTAAAAGACTTATTTGAATTATTTGTGCATGTCGTTATAATTACCCTAACGTGACATAAGTGTGATGTACAGGTAAGAACAAAAGTAAGAACAAAATAATAATAATAGCCATAAAATAATGCCACAGTGCACTTCACATGTAAACATGTAAGAAGGAAGGTCCTTGGGTGTGTGTCACAGCAGTTAGCATTAGTGTGGAAGCTAGAAATGACTTTACAGAAGTGTTTATTTTACATATTAAATTTGTCCCTTCCAGTAACCACTTTAAATCGACTGACTCTCTCTCTCTCACACTCACACCTATTTTCACACTGACTGATACTTGGAATAATTTACAGATTCTGTATCTAAACTTCTCTGCTAGCTTATACTTGTAGCAGAGCAATCTTTTCCACAGGTAGCTGTGCATTGTGGTGTCTCATAACACCAAACATCTTTTGTGCTGTCTGATATTTGGACTTCATATGATGTTTACACATTCTACTCAAGTTAATATTTATTATATATAAAAATATTTCTTTTAGCATTGTCTATAAGACCACATTAAATGTTTGACATTGACAATGCACATACACCTTTTTTTGTTTATAGCATGTAATATTTCAACTTTACACATTCTATAACATGTTGGGTACACTTCTAGATAACATTTCAAGTCCCACTACAAAGTACCAAAGAAGTACCCCAGTTGGTTTGGCACTTTTGGTACTGGTACTTGGCAGAAAGTCAACAGAAAAGGGAAAGCACCAAGAGAACCATACCAAAAATTTGTACTTGGTGCGGTGAAAAAGCCCCCTCAGGTGAAGCTGAGCTAGAGGCACTTCGGTGTGGTACCTGTGAAAGCTCCAGGTCCACCTCCTGCTGTGGCTGATGGCTTTGCTGGTGCTCTTTGCTCAGCTGCCTCTGCACAGTACAAGGTTTGTGAGGTCACAGAGCACAGCAGCTGACATGGCTACAGGCTACCCCACATGTACCACATCTCCCCAGGAAGAGCAGAAGCCTTTACCTCCAGCTGAGAGACCAGCAGCTTCTGCTCCTGTGCCTGGGACTGTAACACTTCCATCTCCACCTGGAAACGCTCCTTCTGACGCCTCGCTTCCTCCAGCTCCCTGTGGAGGGCCTCCAGCTCATGGGCTGATTCACCACTAAGCTCCTGATACAAGGGGGCACAATGTTAACCAGGAGGCACGCAGAGCAAATTTTGGTCAAGACAAGATCACACTGCCACTGACCTGCAGCTGCTGCTGTGCCCGTGGGGCTTGTACCTCTGCCTGCTGCCTCAGCTCCTGAAGGGTGGTGCTATGCTGGTTCTCCAGGGCAAGCACTTCCTGCTGCAGCACCCCCAGAGCTGCAACACACTCCTCCTCCAGGGCCTGTCGCTGGGAAGCCAGGGACCCTGCCAGCTCGACCTGCAGCAGGTAGTCTCACACTCAGCATAAGTTATCGACATTCAGCAATTGCAGAGACATTTAACAGACCTTTTATAAATACATCTAAACATTTCAATACAAAATTATGCAGCTGTTTTCTCAACATACAAGTTTTCTGGACTTGCTGTCTCTGCCTGTTATTTCAATGACTCATGCAGCAGGTCCTCACTTTATGAGCCTGGCCCAGCTCCACTGCCATGCCGGTAAACTTTTCCATGTAGGCCTGGGCCAACTGTCGCCTAAGCTCCTCCAGCTTGGCCACATGGCTGCTCCTCTCCACGTGCAGCATGGCCTCCTTCTCACAACAGATTGACTCCAGCGCCTCCATGTTAGACAGCAGTCTGCCTTGCACCTCCTCCTCTCTCCAATGTTCAGCATGTAGCTCTGCCTCACATGTTTCCAACTGAACCATGTTTGGTTCTTGCAGAATCGTCTCTAGGGACTCAAGCTCCACCTGGTGTTTGCTACTCACGTCAACCTCCAGCAACTCAAGCTCTCCCTTAAGTCTGATACAAAGCCTGGGTTCCAGCTGTTCCATTCTAAGCACGTACATCTCCAGCAGAGACCTCAACACCTCCAACTCCTCCCTGTGAGTCTTCCTCAGACGACTGAGGTCATGCTCACACTGCTGGGCTAGCTGTCTCTGCTCTTCCTTCAATCTGCACACAAAGATATTAACAAAACCCAGGAGCTAAAGTCAGCTTAATGTGATGTGGGGTTTCAATTAACCCTCCCTGCTAGCCTGGTGCCCCTCACCTGGCCTCTGTCTGCTTCTCACGAAGAGACACATGCTTCTTCACCTTCTGCATCATGTTTTTTCGCTCACTCTGCAGCTGGCCAAAGATTTTCTGTGCTATGGCAGAGATCTGCAGACTGTACTCATCATCAAGCTGGTCTTGCAGGGCATGTCCGGTCCATTCTTTCTCCAAGTGTTGCTCCTGGACCCAAGGCTCCTCTGCAGCATCCTTCTGTAGGTCCTCTTGCTGGACGAGATGGCACTCTGCATTCTTCCGCTCTTCCCCATGAGCTCCTTCTTCCACACCCGGTTCAAAATCCTGCTTCAGCTGCCAACAACAACGCCATTAGCAATGAGGTCAGGCACCTTGACGCAAGCAAGAATGGTTTGGTCTTGTATTTTTACAACACTAGAATACTAAGGTCACACTGAAATCTCAGCAATAAACAGCTTAAAACAAATATTCTCAAGCTTACTTTCTGCAATACTGTACTTTGCTGAGAACTTGTTCCACATACTTAACTTTATTTAAGACTACCTGGCTGTGGTCAGCCTCCCTGCTGACCTGGACTAGATATGCTTTGTGTTCTTGCGCCAGTGCTTGGACCCTGTCCAATTTGTAGTTTTATTACCATGCAGACACCGGTGCAGACCAGAAAATACAACAAACGGATTCGTTTTACAGCGTTTTACTATTTTATTTTCTGCGGACAACGCTTCTTGGGAATGAAGGGAGGTACGGATTTTAAGACTTGAGTAAATTAAATTTAAAACCTAGAATGAAAATCTGTGCATTTTTAAGACATTTTAAGGCCTTACATTTAACTTTCTGAATTTTAGACTTTTTAAGACCCCGCGGGAACCCTGTATTAATACTGTCCAGTGGTTCTTAAACCTCTAATTTTCCAATCCTATCCTGCTCAGAGAAAACAAGATCAAGATTGGTAGGGGTGTTAAACTGAGTAAAAAAACAATCCTGTACTAATTCCACCATCTCAAGTTCATTTACAGAAGAGCCAGAGACTGTGTCCCACTGTATCCCAGGTAAAATCACCCATAACCACCACATTTTTATTACTCATAATTAGGGGTGCACCGATCGATCGGCGCACCGATCGATCGGCCTCGATCACGTTAATTTGAGGGGATCAGAAATCGACCATATTCCCATGAGATCCACCGATCTTAGTTATATGCTTTTAACTCTTTGGGGTCGAGTATGTCGTCGACGAC